TCTTATTTGATTTAAGGCCTACTCAGCAAGATCTAACTCATATCTGCTTGGATGAGCAAGAACTTGACATCCCAGGAATCTAGGATAAACCAAATACTACTGGTATAAAAAATAATGATAAAATGACTCCTAATAATATTCTGCTATATTCATCAGTAAATGCCTTGTTCAGCTATCAGAGAGCTTCATTCTGTAGAAGCTGGGAACAAATATAGATTTTCACAGCCTGACATTATGGAGAGAGAGAGAGAGAGAGAGAGAGAGAGAGAGAGAGAGAGAGAGAGAGAGAGAGAGAGAGAGAGAGACCTTGGAGCACTAAAAGGATGTGCCCATCAAATCCCTCCCCTTGGAACTCTCAAAGCCCATGAAAGAGGAGGGGGAGAAAAATAATGAATAGCCAAAGCAGATGGAGGTCACAAAGAAAACAAGGTCCTCTAAATCAGCATAATCAAGCCTCATTTGAACTCACAGAGGCTGAGGAAGCATGCACATGGCCTGCATGGGCTGCCGCAGGTTCTCTGAGTATGTGTAACAGCTTCCAGTATAGTATTTTGGGGAATTCTCGAGGGTGTGAAGCAGTGGATATCTGATTCTTGAGCCTTTTCTTGGGCTCATTTCCTTCTACTTGTTTGTGCTCTTTAACTTCGATGTGTAGGTTTTTTTTTTTCAATGTTACTATAGTTTGTTCTTCTTTACTATTACTTGAGACTTTCACTTTCTAATTAACAGCAGAGCTGATGCATAGAATTAATGTAGTCTATTTTAATGCACATTATTAGATTATATGCTAGTTCTGATAGCTAATATTTTGTTAGGATTGTTGTATATATATTAATTTAAAATATTTAGGAAATTAAAAAATGACCTACTATGTGAAATTTGTGAAAAATCCAATTTATAGTTTAAAAATATTTAGGAAATTAAAAAAAAGACCTATGTGAAATTTTTGAAAAATCCATTTTAAAGTACTTTTCAAAATGCTACCTCTTAGATCATGTAAATCAACTTACACTTTTCAATGTGTTTTACTTTTCCCCCCACTTAAGCTCTGACTTTAAAATATTTCTTAAATTCATGTAATTTGATTGCATGTATGTATTTACATAAATTGAAGTTGTTTTTACTTGCCTTGATTGCATGTTAACTGTATACCAAAGTCCAACATAAAAAAGTACATCTATTTCATGTAAATACTGTAATATCAAACATGTAACAAGAGTGATATTGCATTAAATTTAGTTAAATTCCATTTTCAGACTTGATTTTCTTCTAGCTCAAGAAAGTTAATTCATGAACACAGTGTGCAGTGTTTGGGTGTGGTAAATATTAAGAAATATAGTATTAAATAAAAGAAACACAATAAAGCTCGGGAATTAAAGCTGTCTGAATATTTATTTAGAGAAAAGTTTAGTTTATGAAATTCTGTTTGTAAAGGAGGTACTCGGTACAAATTGTCAATCACCCATCCCAATTCTGTGGTAAGCTGGTGTTTGGCTCTGGAAGACAATTTAGTTATGTGATATATCTGGTAGGTTCATATTATTATAGGCAGTTTTATCATACATTTCATGCCTTTTATTTACATTTTAATTATGTATCAAATGTATTTCAACAAAGAATATATTTATCTTTAAACATTTTGCATATTTGTATTATGAATGAATGAGTCATAAAATACACATAAGGGTATATTTTGTGCAATATTTTTAATAATTTTTTGGGATAACTCATTATTATTTTGGCGATTCTTGGATTTTTGTGCCTCCAATACAAATTTTGGATTTTTTTCTATTTCTTGAATAAAGTCCTAATAAATGATTGGAATTGCATGGGATTTATAGATTATTTTGATAAGAAGATTGTTTCCACTAGATTAATTCTACCAATTCACCGGAATATTTTTTTTTCTTTTGTTGTATTCGTAAATTTCATTTTTGAGTAGCTAAAGTTCTCACTGTACATGACAAGTCTCCTCCCACCTGCTATTCCTCTCTCTGCCCAACATATCACTTCCTGCCTGTCTGTACAGCTCTTTGGACCTCTATGGTTAACTATTGGCTAGCTCAGCCCTCTGATCTTTAAGGTTTATTTGTTAGAACACAAAGGAATGTCAAAACACTGAGTTTGTCCACATTTAGCATGATGTTCACTATAGTTTTGTTATATATATCCTTTATTTTGTTAGGTTGTATTCCCTCATTTGTATCCCCTTCATGTCTTTTATTGAGAAGGAATGTGAGATCACATGAGTTTTCCTTTGAGACGATTTTTGAGAAGGGCAAATTCATTGATTTACATATGCTGAGCCATCCCTGCATCTCTAGAATGAAATTCAGGAGGACAAAGTTCCTTGGAATATGATCTGGATAAATGTCTTAAAGCATGGTTAGGATTTCTTATGTCAAGCAGCAGAAGAAAGTAACTATCTACAAACTACAAAGCTCAGCTCATAAAGCTGTAAGATGGGCATAAATTTAGAGAAAATACTAAGCTATTTGGTTTTGCTTAATGTTAGTGACAATGACAAGAGTTTCAGGACACAGGTGTGGTCACTCTTTACTGAAAAGACATTTAGCATGCATGTTGTTAGGACTGGTAATAAGAAAAACAAATAAGCACACAGGCCAAATGAGGATTCACCAGATTCTGATAATTACGTGACAGAAAGTTGAGAAGCTTTTGAACATGAATAGATATATTCTCTACTAATCACCTATTAAAAGTATTATTTTCATAAATTAATATATGAACTAAATGACATAGTAGTGACAATTATATTGTGAAAAACAAAAAATGACAGATTCTATCTATAATCCATTTCTAGTACTTAGTAGCTTTTGAGTTGGCAGGATTGGAGGAAGGGTAATTTGTGGTCTGGATGTATTGTATGAGAAGAATCTATTTTCAATAAAAATAATAAATACACTTATTCATTTATTTATTCCTAATTTTGATGAAAAAGATATTATAAAATTTGTGATATTAACTTTTAAATTTTGTATGTCAGTGGTATTGAGTTCATCCCCACCTTTGTGTCCTGACGCTTCAGAACTCTTTCTCCTATTGAAGCTGCAGCTATGTGCAAACTGAGCTGGAGCCACATTTCCTCTTAGACCCTGGAAAGCTACACTTTATATTTAGTTACTTCAAGTAGGATTATTACAAGTGGACTAAATCAGTGGACTCAATATTGGAGTTTAGTTAGTGTTTATCTTTTCTGCATTGTTTTTTTCCTGTTAGAAAATAAAACCATTGAAAACTAGTATTTAAAAATAGTTAATTCATTATTGTCAGATATCATATCATATAGTAGATTGAATGATTTACCATCTAGAGCTTTGTAAGCAATAACATTTTGACAACAATAGACGGCTAATCTGTAAAGGGCTATTGATTATGAATCCAGCCTGCATTTTTAATTTTTGCATCTGAAATTTTTGCATGCAAAACAAAAAAAATCACAGTCACAGTTGCCTAATTATAGGCACAACCGTCCAAATTAGCCCTCAAAAGAACAGCACAAAGTGATACCATCTGTGAAAATGGACAAACTCCACAGACCTTTCCTGTTTCAAGCTCTGTAAGAGGAGAGCAAATTTCCCTCAAGCTTTTGGCTCAGACTTTTTTCTTGTATGATCTCATGTATGCCTTAAAGGCTAGTCTTTCTAAGAAGCTGAGAACCAGCAGGCCTTTCCCTCATCCAACCAAACAACCCCTTCCTCATAATATATTCCTTTATTATGGCCACCTGAAAATAGTAGTCATTTCTAAATCACGTCTTTCCCATTGTTAGCACAAGCAGATTAAAAAAATGTACACAAAATTTTGCCTGGTAGGTAACTTTAAAACTACAAAGACAGACTCTCATACAAATTTCTTTTTAAAGATGACAAGAAAATTATGTTACTCTACTTTCACAAAAAAGCTGTTTTAGCCTTTTGTTAAAAATACAACTGTCAGTTTTGATCAAATACATTCATATTTTCCCATTATGTTATTATGGCCATCATGAAATTTAATAATTGTCCCTTGGAGTTTGATTTCCCATAAAAGAGTCATAACACAATCATCACTATTGCAAATAATTATGGAATTATGTGGAGTTATCATTTCAGATGGGAAATATATAATAATAGATTAAGAAATTTAAAACCCAGGTTAATACTCAATAAAGATTCAGCTCTCATACAGATGTCAGCAATAATAAATGTGTGACAGCAAAGCCTGCTTTAAAAAAACAAAAGAGATTCCAGACATAGTCATTGGCAGAGGTTTTAATGATAGTTCAGATACTATTTGTTTTTCATTTCATCATATTAAATACTATTTACCTAAAATGTCCTCTCTGGAAGAAATGTCCTATACTTTTAAGAAGTAGAGAACTGGGTAGTTTATTTCTGATTACAAACTAAGAAGTCTTAGTATATGAACTTTATAATGACTCATGTTGCTTTATTGTAAATTATTGCCTTAATTATTTGTTTTAGTTTTTCTTTTTGAGAGATAGTTTCTTTGTGGATGCCTGACTGTTCTGGAACCCCCTAGAACAGGCTGACCTTGGTCTCAGAGATTGGTCTGCCTCTGCCTCCTCAGTGCTGGGATTAAAGGCTTGCAGCTCTACAGTCAGATATTACCAATGGGGCATTAGTGAGAAATCAAGGTTTAAGAGCTGTGAAATAGCGTAATTAGAGGAATGAGCTTTTGAATGGAGTCGGATGCCTAAATATCATCAATGGCATGCTGATTAGGACGTTCAATATAACACAGGGTAAAGAATATTAAGACATTAGAGAGGATGGTGTGGACCGTTGAGATGGTGAGCAGATAGAGGATAGGGTTTAATGACTATTAAACTCTAGGAATGCCAATAAATGCTAGAAGGAGAAAAGAAATTCCCACAAGTTGTCCCCTGACTCCATGCGCGCACGCGCACACACACACACACACACACACACACACACACACACACACACGTCTAATGATGGGGTAATGCTACTTACATCCCGAGCTTCCATTTGTTGACACCAAAGTCATGTTGGAAGGCCATGGATTCCGAACAATATCTTGCCAGTGTATGGTGTCAGCATAACACAGGAATTTGTTCTGGTCGACATAGACTCCACCATTTAGAATTTCTGTATGAGAAACAAAATTAACCATTAATTTGCTTTTTTAAAAATGTTAGCCATCAGAAAGGCATTGTTGGACTTATTTTCAACACTAGAATCATATTAAGAGCCAGGATGCTCCTAGAACTATTTTCATTGGTTCATTTACCTTCATTTTAGCACTTTAAATTTTAGCACTTCAAAAGGTTGAAAAGTACAGACAAAAATAGAAATAATTCTAATAATAGACACATATCCAAAATTTTGATATTTTTAGTGTCTGTGACTTTACCCTGGATTTATAATAACATCACTTGTAAGAGTTCAAAATCTGATACTTTGGTTTAACATTTTGTATAAAATATTGAAAGATAATTTTTGTTTTATTTTATTTAATGATAATATAATATTATAGAATATGAACTAATTAATATTACTTAATAGAACTCTTGTTATTTTATTTTCTCTTTGCTTAGTCATTAAAATAAATGTCCCAAAATATAATTCCATGACCATAGATTGTGAAATCTCATGATTTTTGATACACACATTCAAATGTGCCTTCCTTAGAACTTATTCAATCTAAGATTTACTAGAGCCCATACATCAGTAATGAACATAAAGTAAAAAATGAAAATTAATGTTCTCTTGCAAAATATTCTCTCCCATATGAAATATTATCAATAGATTGGTCAATCATTAAGACTAACACAAAACAAGATATTATATCATTCCTGTTTGGCTCAGGAACCTGGAAATGAGATAAAAAATCTATGAGGTCTACTTTTTGCTTGATTCTTTATTCCATAATTAATAATGATTAACTGAAGTATTCACAGGAACAGTGTATAATTACACATAAAGATAATCCTTCAGATACACTAAAGTTATTTGGAAAAATTAAGATAATCCCTCTGAAGAAAAGTTATTTTAAAGAAATTAGACACATAAATAGCATCTTTATTTTAGTATCTACTAGAGTATCCCTTTGTAATTCAGTCTATAAATAATCTTAAAATCATTATATAATTGTTTAATAAGTTTTCAGCTATAACTACAAGCTAAGAAAAATAAGTAACAGTCTTTAAAAAGTGTAGGATTAGATGTGATGTTGTACCAGGTGCTATTCAGAGTCAGTTTCCTTCCGTGACTCTCTGCATGCCTGTATTATCCACTGCAGATACAGGATGGCTATGTTGTTTAATACATGATGATATTAGATATCATCCAATACATGATGCCCTGATGTGAAGGCAAAATGAGACAGAGGAAGAAACAGAAAGGTCCAGCTGAATTCCAAAACATGTTGTCTATACAAAATGTTACTTTCTTTAGTTAGGAAGAGGAATAAAATCGGGCTATTTCCTGGAAATGCTACTAGAGAAAATGTTACTAGATAAAATATCTGCTGCAAAAGGACAAATATCAAGTGTTCTCTCTTGCATGTAGAGCTTAGATATTACAGAGGAAGACAAGAGCATACATGAATGTAAAGTGGGCATTCACATAAAGAAGAGATATGAGGGTGAATGGGATTAATAGGAATTGCATTCAGACCAGGGAGAGTAAGAGTAAAGATAATAGAATTACTTGATGTACTTGTGCAAGATGTCTATGAAGTTCGTTATTGTGTATAATGAGTATGTGCTATTAATATTCTCTAAAAATAAATTTAAATAATAACTGCATTTTTGTTCAAGAAAATCTTCCATTGGTATTTTATGAAAGACAGAGAAAATATCAGCTTAAGAAAATACTGGTAACCAATAAATCCCAACCAGTCAGAGTGTAAGAGCCTGGAAAGAAAATCATGCTCCTTAGCAGACTTGAGAATCATCTTCCTTGTGCAGTTCTTCAATATATTTTTAATATTGCTATTTTTTCCTTTTGATACGCCTGGTCTAAGTTACATATTGAATAGCTTTCTTCAACCAGTGTGAAATAAATGAATAAAGGAATACATAACAGCCAAGTAGCATTTGCTGAAGCAAAATTGGTGGCACATTCAAAGAACCTGATGGCTCTGCATGTATAAAATCCTCTAGAAAAATTTACATTTTTCAAACAGTCCCCCTTTCAAACTCAGCTCTATTCTCATCATCAATCTTTTCACTATCTGTTCTACTTCTTAAAGGGTAAGAAAAAAGAAACAAAGAGAAATTAGATCATGTTTTTTTTTTCTTTTAAAGCCTAGTTCATTTTTTTTTCATGACCCAGCCATGCAACCTTCATCAGAACAGAAGCAGATGTAAGACTGATTGCAAAAAGGATTTCTGTATTAATGCTTGGCATTACGTTTCTATGGGAAAATGTGCACAGGTCTTACACTAATAGCTTTCTCATGAGACACTGTGTGATACTCTTCAGCTCTAGGAATAATTCTTCATTAGGTGAAAAGAAAGAGTATTCTGACTGCTATTTAGGAAATGAAGGCTATTTTTCAGTCTACATTTGGAAAAATTACACTGGAAAAAAAGATGTGTGGAGAGTGGTAATAGCTCAAAAATTTTGAAAGCAAACAAAACAACAACAACAACAACAAAAACAACCTTAGTTTTCAGGAGTCACATTTCAATTCAAACTGTTAAAATGGAAGAAGCACACTCTCCATTTTCAGCTTCCTATCTGGATAGTCTCAAATAGAATCAGATTGTATTATGGTGAATAATAATCTCATCAAATCTCTTTCTTCAGCAGAATTAATCTACTATTATTAACATTTATTTCTTAGAAATATTATGCTGGAGAGCTTGACTTTTCTTGGAAAAGAGATAGAGAAACGAGACAATAATAATTTCAAAACAAGCTTACAGACTAAAATTTTCTACTAAGACATATTCATGGTCAATCTGGTTGGGACATTTTGCCACGAAAGACCCGAGAGCCAGCTTCCTCCAGCACTTCTGCTGGGGGGGAGTCATACATTTTTATTTAGCTTTGAGTACTGGAAAGTTTCAGTTTTCCCTTTATGCTATATATCTTTCTCCACCTTCAAATGTCAAAATCTCACCTTCAGAAAAAGTAGGTTTTTATTGGCATTTATAGGAATACACTGATGAATATATGATGTCACATTTTAAATACTTGTCTACCAAAATATTTTCAGAAAATAGTGCTATAATTGTTTTTAAATATGATTTAAAATTTTGTTTGACTTTATAACATAAATGTCAAATATTAGTTTAATATCACTTGAGAGGAAATACTTGATTAGTTTTATTTGTTTGATTTTATAACATAAATGTCAAATATTAGTTTAATATCACTTGAGAGGAAATACTTGATTAGTTTTATATTTCAAATAAGAAACTTCTGTAGGATAGTTTACGACCCAGAAGAATGTAGCAACAAAAGAGTAACCTGATGTTTGCACTATAACTGACTATGAAGGACAAATAATTATCAGAAAGCAGAAGGATTTGGGGAGATCCGATAAAATACCAAAAGTCACCTATACTTATAACTATTTTAGTAACTTATAAGAAGAGACTTTTTTTTACTGAGGATTTATTTTTAAAAATCACCTGTTTTAAACCACAGTTTCCTCTAACATGAAAATAAAGTAAGTAATAACTAAACTTTAGGATTTAGACAAAAAGATTGCTATAGAAAAGTAAGAGATGAAAAGCAGCGAATAAATGCAATGGACAGTCAAGCAAAGAAGCTTGAGTAAGGCAGGTGGAGGAGCGTGAAAAAAGTGTCAGACACGTGAGTGAGTTCAAGGCAGTCTCACCCCACTGTGCTCACAGTCGGTTGTAAAAGCATACAAGAGTAAATTAAGAAAGACACAAACAGATTCTTGATCCTTTAATCAATTGGTAAAGGAAAGAAAAGCCTTGAACTTTCTTACTATATTGTTTGAAATTATTTCCAGGAATTTCTCAAAACAGAACTGACTATTACTAATAAATGTTAGAGTTACATTAGATATAGCATTCTGTAAAAATAAAAGTACCATTCATTACTGAAAAATCTCATTACATTTATTTGTATCTCAGGTTTTTCTGACTAAATACATATAGGTCAAATGAAAGATGTAATAAATATTTTTATACATAGAGTAAGTAAATAATAATTTGCATTATGCTGTAATATGGGGTTTATTTATTTTTATTATTTTCTTTAATTTATTTTTTAAAAATAATCTTTTCTCATTTTACATAACTATCCCAGTTCCCATTCTCTTCTCTCCTTCTGCTCCTCCCATCTTCCCCTCACCCTACCCCCCATCCACTCCTCAGAGAAGGTAAGGCTTCCCAATGGGAGTCAATAAAGTCTTACACATCATTTTGAGACAGGATCAATGAACTCTCCACTATATTTAGGCTGAGCAGGATATCCTTCCAAAAGGAATGGGCTCCAAATCCAGTTTCAGCACGAGAGATTAATCCTGGTCCCACTACCAGGCCCCGCACACCACCCCGGCCACACAATTGTCAGCCACATTCAGAAGACCTAGTTTGATCCTTTGCAGCGTTCCTTGCTTTCAGTCAGGAGTCACAAGCTCCGGCTAGCTCAGGTCAGTAGTTTCTGTGGGTATCCCCCTCCTGGTCTTGACCCTCATATTATTGGTCCCCCCTCTCTTTGACTGGTCTCCAGAAGCTCGGAGCAGTGCTTAGCTGTGATTCTCTTCATCTGCTTCCATCAGATATTGGATGAAGGTTCTATGATGACAATTAAGGTAGTCATCAATCCGATAACAGGAAAAGGACAATTCAGGGACCCTCTCAGCTATTGCTTGGGGTCTTAGCTGGGGTCATCATTGTGGATTCCTGGAAATTTTTGAGGTGACAGGCTTCACACTAGCTCCATAATGGCTCCCTCAACCAAGATATCTCTTTTTGCTCTTCCTCTCTGTCCTTCCCCCATGTCGACCATCCCATTTCTTCTGTACATGGGATTTAACTCAAACAAACACATATGTTTCAAATTTAAATACGACCAGACTAAGCTTTGGGAAGTTAAGGGACATGGTACATAGCTGTCTTTGCAACATCGGTCAATTGAGCAGTCTTTGCCCAACATAC